GCAGTGGCTCACACTTGTAATCCCAGCTACTCAGTAGGCAAAGATTGGGAGGATCCTGGTTCAAGGCCAGCCTAGGAAAAAAGTTCTCAACACCCCATCTCAACCAAGAAAAAACAGGAGGAGCACTGGATCCATATATTCAGTGCCACCCCAGTCAAAACCCCAGCAAGCTATGTTGTGACTATGAACAAATTGACTCTAAACTTTATATGGTGAGGCCAACAAAAACAAAAGAAAAGAAAAAAAACCCAAAATCCAGACTAGCCGACATACTAGGACGAACGAAATGAGAGTAATGACACTGCTTGACTTCAAGACGTCGCTGTAAACGTACAACAATCAAGACAGCATGACTTGGGGAAAGAATAGACAAAGCATGGGAGCACAGTGGAGAGCTCAGAAACAGAGCTGCATAAATACAGTCAGCTGATTTTTTTTAATGGAAGGTCAAGTTTATTTTATTTTTTAAAATTATTTTATTATTCATATGTGCATACAAGGCTTGGGTCATTTCTCCCCCCTGCCCCCACCCCCTCCCTTACCACCCACTCCACCCCCTCCCTCTCCCCCCTCAATACCCAGCAGAAAGTATTTTGCCCTTATCTCTAATTTTGTTGTAGAGAGAGTATAAGCAATAATAGGAAGGAACAAGGGTTTTTGCTGGTTGAGATAAGGATAGCTATACAGGGCATTGACTCACATTGATTTCCTGGGCGTGGGTGTTACCTTCTAGGTTAATTCTTTTTGATCTAACCTTTTCTCTAGTTCCTGGTCCCCTTTTCCTATTGGCCTCAGTTGCTTTTAAGGTATCTGCTTTAGCTTCTCTGCGTTAAGGGCAGAGCCAAGTTATGGAAACAGCCAAGATGCCCCACCACTGACGAATGGATTAAGAAAATGTGGTATCTATACACAATGGAATTTTATGCAGCCATGAAGAAGAACGAAATGTTATCATTCGCTGGTAAATGGATGGAGTTGGAGAACATCATTCTGAGTGAGGTTAGCCTGGCCCAAAAGACCAAAAATCGTATGTTCTCCCTCATATGCGGACATTAGATCAAGGGCAAACACAACAAGGGGATTGGACTATAAGCACATGATAAAAGCGAGAGCACACAAAGGGAGGGGTGAGGATAGGTAAGACACCTAAAAAATTAGCTAGCATTTGTTGTCAGCTGATCTTTGACGAGCAAGCAAGGCAATACAATGGAGAAAACACAGCCTTTCAACACATGGTGTAGGGACAGCCCGACATTCACATGTCAAAAACATCACTAAGTCAGAACGAATCGCAGAACTACAGGTAAAATAAAATTAAAAACCTATAAAGCTACTCAAAGATAAAGGAGGAATCTAAATGACCTGGGGTTTTGCAATGACTTTTTAAATATACCACCAAAGGTTTCACGAGAGAGCTTGATAATCTAGACTTCACTAAAATTAAAATTCGCTTCTCCAACAAAGGACACTGTCAAGAGAATAAAAAGAGAAGCCGTAGATTGGGAGAAATTAGTTGTAAAAGATACAGCTGAGAAAGGACAACTCACTCCTTTAAATTGAAGGATTAAAAAAACCAAGCAACCCCAATAACAGATGAGCAGAGATGCCCCACATCATGTGTCATCAGAGAAACACAACTTAGAAGCAGAAGACAGCACTGCATGTGTCACTAGAATGGCTGAAACCCAGCATATGGGAGGCACTGCGTGCTGGTGAGAGTGTGAAACAGGAATGCACTTGCTGGTGGAGTTGCAAAGTGGTGCAGTCGACAGGTTGTTACAACACTGGACATAATTTCACATAGGAGACAGCACACAACATGGAGACAAGTCACTCTGCTTGGTGTTTGCTCAGGTAAGCAGACAACTCTGAGATCTACACAAAAACCTACATACAAATGTATACGGCAGCTTATTTGTAGTTGACCAAACTTGGAAACAACCAAGATGTCAAGTAGGTGAATGGACAAATAAACAGTGGAATTCACACAATGGAATAAATAACTCAGCACAGAAAGGAAATGGGCTGCTAAGCCAGGAAAAGACATGGAGAGAGCTGAAATGGAAATTGCTAAGTGAGAGACACTGAGCTGAAAAGACTGTGGCAGGGAGGGGGAGGACGAACAGGTGGAGTACAGAGGGTTTTTAGGACAGTGACATTCTCCTCCATGATATTCTAAGGGTGCACATACATCTTTATACATTTGCCAAAACCTGTATAATGTACAATATGAAGGGCAAACCCTTACGTGAAATATGGACTTTGGTGAATAGATTGTATTGATATCGGTGCATCCAAATAGAGCAAGTGTACCACACTAATGCAAGATGCTAGGAGTTGGGGGGACAGACTGGACATACGGCACTCTTTGTCCTCTGCTTTCAATTTTCTGTAAATCTAAAATGACTCTAAAAACGGTCTATTTTTAAAGAAATAGATCTAGCTCTTTGGTATATTTCTTACTCCAAAAACTGCTCAACTGGATTGAAAAATAAGTATTCTAAAATCGAATACAAGTAGGGAACATTCCAATATCAGAAAATGTTAGTAAAGAGTGGGCTTTACAGGTCTGACACTGAAGGTGAAATGGAAATTGAAATATGTGATAAGTGTGATAAATTTTTATACATGAAGATTTTATGTCTCTGAAGCAATTTGCCAAAAGGAAAAAACTTACTGTGAAGAGATGAAAACATGTTCAAATCATAGGTAATGAATGAGATGCAAGATAAAACAAGTCCTATGTTTTTCCTATAAAGCTGGCAGACACTGAAACATGGGCAGATCCAATGTTTGCTAGGTTGTGCGAAATGTATTAAGTAAATTGGTGTAAACTCTCTGGAGGAAAAGTTGGCAAGAAATATAAAAATCCTAAAAACGGTTCATTTCTTCTGGCCCAGTAATTCACTTCTAAATTATGTGTGGATATGCAAATAAAGACACATACATCTTTACGTATGGTACAGTCGCATCACATAGGCTGTGCAGTTAAGAAACTGCAATATACTCTTGTTTCTTTCTCAGAATATACAAGCCAAAACTCTGCATTAGATACCAAACCACTCCAGTTTTGAAAGGCATTTGTGTGTGTGTGTGTGTGTGTGTGTGTGTGTGTGTGTGTGTGTATTTGAAGTGTTAAAGGCTGGAAAGAGTTACACTACACTGGGTAGAGGCTTTGCGGTTTTAGGGTTTTCTGGTGACTGTAATTTTTTTCTTACTAAAATGTTTATATAGATGTGTGTGTATGTATTTTTTTTTTCTTTTGAGACAGCATCTCAAACTTGTGATCCTCCTGCCTCAGCCTCCTGAGTGCTGGGATTGCATGTGTGCACCATCACACCCAGCTTTTTTTTTGTTTTTTTCCTATAGGGACATCTATTATTTGTGGAAAGAATAAAGGAGTGCCAAAAAAAAAAAAAAAAGAAAAGAAAGAAAAAAGAAAAAGACTGCAGAGAGGCAGAGTGGCAGAGTTAGGGTAGCCATGGGTTGGCTGTTGTCACACAGTCCAGGAACTCTGAGCTTGGCAAGGGAAGAAGTGGTGGGAGGGGCCTCAGCCAAAGTTGGCTTTTGGCCCCCAAAACAACAGTTGTCTGATCTGATAAGCCAAGGGCAGTGCCTACTGAGTCCCATGTGGGCAGTGAGGGCAGCCTCCAGTCTGGCTTCCTGTGTGAGGCAGTGCTGTGTGAGGCAGTGCTGTGTCCTTTCCTCTGGTGGTTTTTGGGGGTCCCGGAGGACCGCCAGGGCTTCATGGGCCTCCTGCCCCAAACACCCAGCCCAGGCCTGTCGCCCCAGAACTCACTTTCTGGACCCTGCCCTCAGCTGAAGCCTGGGCTGCAGAACAGCAGCTGGGGACATCTGTTCTGCGGAGCTCTTGGGCCCTGGCAGGGATGCAGCAGTGGGCAAGACTCATCCCAGAGGCCCAGCATGCAGCCACAAAGTGTGCCCTTTCTCCACTTGCCCTCTGGAGGGCCCAAGACTGAGCCCTCGCCTGCAATCAGCCCTTCTGGGCTGGCCCCTGGCAGAGAGAGTCCTGGATTCGGACATGATCTGCCCCAGGCCGGGCACAGGCGACAGGGCAAGGTACAGCGATCTTGCCCCCCGAGCCTGCAGACTTCAGTTCACCCCTGGTAAGGTGTTAGCATCCCCGCGCCTCCATCGTTCTCTGTCGGGGATGGCACAATGCTATCTCTCCCCCCGACACTGTCCTGATAGTTGATCTACGTTGATCTAGTAGGAACTCAGCCAACACTCACCATGGGTTTCCTAGGACCAACTGTAACTCTCAAGCAGCCTTAGGGGACAGGCACTGTTTCCTATCACCTCTCCCGATTTTACAAAGAAACCACCATTCAGAGCTTAAGAAACTTACCCGAGGCCAAAGAGACTGGGGGAGGCGGGAGGAAAGTCAGCTGACGCGAGCCCTGCTCTTAGCCGGGCAGTACTCGGGGAGTCGCGTCTCTGTCCGCACGCGGTGCAGGTGTCAGGTGAGGGGCCGCGCTAGCCCGGGGTGCCGTAGCGGGTCGGCCCTGCTCCCACACGTGAGCAGGGGTGGGGGGCTCCCACGCCCGCCAGGTGAGGCGGCTCCGAAGGACTCCTCCAATCACAGGAGGCCCTCGTGCCAGGTCCCCCCAGGTTTGGCCAATCAGGGGAGACCTTTCACAGCCCCGCGAATCGGGTGAGGGGCTTGGGAAGTGGGCCAGCAGTCTCGGGGACAGGTTGTCCCTCCCGCCCAGACCGTCTGCGTCCCCTTCCGTAAGTCCCTCTCTCTTGCCAAGCCTTCGCTTTCCCTTTCGTAAGCCAGGCACCAACGCGCACGCCATAGGACTGCCCGGCCCGATCCTCGCGGGGACCCCACTTTGGCGTCCCGATCGGATAACCTGATGCCCCCTGGAGCTGGATTGTAAGTGCAGAGTCCCTGCTGCAAGGCCCGTGGACCCGCCCCCGCCCCGCCAGGAGTCCCGGAGCGGAGCTGGGCAGCCGCCCTCCCACGGGCGACTCACCTCGCGGGCGCAGCAGGAGAGCAGGATCCGACCTCTGCGAGCCGCGGTCCAGGGATGGCGCACGCGGGTCGGGGCTGCGGGAAGGCGGGGAGGTGGGACCCGCCCCCTCCAGTCCGAGGGGAGGGGCGCGGGGCGGTGGAGACACGCGCTGGGTGGGAGTGGGGAGGCAGGCCCTGGCTGCGTGTCCAAGGCTGCACGTGGCTCTCCCTGTGTGCCCCTGCATTCATGGAGACTTCGGGGAAGAAGACAGAGTTTTAACAAGTCTCAAAATGCCAGCAGAGCTGATAGTTCTGAAAACCTGGATAAGTTCACTCACCAGCTCTGGAATGATATGCAAAAGGACATGCTGTGAGCTGTGAGCTCAGGCAGAGGCGAGCTGTGAGCCTGCAGCCACCTGGGAGCCAGGGTCCCAGAACAGCAGCTGTGTGTCCTGGGGTTTCTGCCTGTGCAGTGCCCTTCCCACCTCTCCACAGCTGGGACGGTTCTCCTTCTCTGCTCTCCCTTCCACCTCCTCCAGGTGCTGCTGACCCCTCCCCAGGGAACCTGTTCAGCAGGGGCACTGTCCATCCCTGGGCCAAGGTAAACAAGGGGAAAGAGCACGGAGAATGATAACACCACATGCTGCTTCCAGACGGAACCCTTTCTCCTGGTGACTCCTGTCACTGGGAATGCCTTTCCAGGTCTCCTGTCGTCTGGGGCCTCTCTCTCTACCCAAGCTCCAGCCCCCTGGCCCTCTCCTCAGCCACCAAGCTTGCTCTAGCCACAGCTTTGTGCTGGGGTACTAACATAGCAAGGCTCCCTCTCTCCCTCCCTCACAGGGCAGCTCCTGTACAGCTAGTGAATCTCAGACAGGTGCTGCAGAGCCTCAGAAAGCTCTTCCAGGTCCACAACCTAAGAAGGTGGCTCACAGCACCCTGTCACGTCACCATGTTACTTCCCTCACAGCGTGTATTATAAACCTGACACTCCCTGTCCCTTCATTTGTCTGTTTCTCCCATCTGACCATAAGCTCTTTGAGGGCAGGAAGCTCATGTTTGGTGTTGTGTCCCTAATACCCAGTTATGGAACATAGCACTTGCTCCGCAAATGCTTGCTGAATGACTTAATGCACATATTTTGCCCACATGCTAACATGACTTCTGTCTGCCCTGTTTTCAGGTACTGTTTCCCCGCTCTCTCAGTTCCAACCTCCCTCATAGACACTGATCTTGACTTAACTTGTCTGGGCTGCTTATCTTGCTCATACTTCGGAAAGCTACTCTGCAACACCTTATCTTCAGGAAAGCCTTCCCTAGTGTAGTCCCTTGGGACAGCTCCCTCTGCTATATGATTGCAAAGAGATGGCTCATTTTCCTTATTGAACCCCCTCAATTACAGCTTTATCACAGCTTCTGGAATTACTTGACTTACTCTGACAGAGGGCCTCCTGGCGAAATCCCTGACACTGAGTGTATGTATGCCTTGTGTGCAGAAGGTGCTTAGTAAATTTGTAGCTAAGTGCCTGATTGCCCTGGAGAGGAGAGGGAAATGGTGTGGTCCACTGGATGCAGAATAGAAAAG